GCTCTTAATTGGCATTTGCAGGGAGGGTTTCAGGTCACCGTTTTCTGGAAGATGCCTCCAAGCTCATCTTCTCCAGAAGGATCAGGTGCCGGCGTGTCCTTTTCACGCTGTCACGCTCCAGCACCGTGCCCATTTCATTTGCCGCAGGAAGGATTTGCTTACTGGGGCCGAGGAGGGTTTCCAAAAGCTCTCAACAGATGATTTCGTTGGAGGCAGGCAGAGTTTTTCCAGCTCACGAGGGCGATAATGTTAGCTGCGTCTCATGCTACGGTGATTAAAATTCTGCCCGTAAACACTGTGGCTGTTCCCAGAATGGAGATGTGAGGTATAATTAAAGCACTTGGAAAGGGCTATCACACGGACATGGGCTTGTCTCTCCTCTCCGGCCCTGGCATGGGCTGATGGGGACGGCCTCCCAACCTCGTCAGCACTCATTCCAGTCATCGAGGACGTGACCCCTGGACCCATTAGCCCCCGGAGAGGAGGTTTAAACAAAGCCCCGAGTCCACAGTGCTAATCTCTGCGCTCTTAAAGATGGAGCCATGCCCGGCTGCTTAACTCGCTGCACATCTTCTCTGGAGGGGAAGCCTCATGGAGGAAGCCCAACTCTCAGAAGCAGAAGAAAATGAAAGCCTTTGTTGAGAGAGCTTTTTCATGAGAATTTTCTGTTTTAATGCACGCAGCTTGAAAACGATGGGTTTCCCTGTCGGGTGGTGGGTGGGAGTCTCCTCGAGCGCATAGTCTCCCAGCTGAGTGTGCACATGCGAACTGGACGGCCGTCTCCATCACTCCTGCACGCGGAGAAGCAGAGCTGGGCTCTTCTCCCAGCTCTGACTTCAACTTGTATCGCGAGGAAGGACCGAGCTGCCAGGGTCTAGGTTTTTTGGAAGTGACTTGTCATTCCAGTTGTCTGAGTTTTGTGGGGAGTTCAGCTTGGAGAGACGTTTTCTTCTCCAGGTGAACAGCCCAGATCTTTGACCACCGCTGAAATGGTAGCTTCTGCGACCCGCTATTCTCCAGCTGCCCAGCCATGTACATCAAGGACCATTTTTCCCCTTGCTTCACCAGGATGATAAGGCTTGACCTCGTTCCTAATGGCAGACAAGGTTTTTTGGGTGAATCTGATATCTTTTATTAGACCAACTTCAATAGCTGGGAAAAAAAAAAATTCTTAGCAAGCTTTTGGGTTTAAAAACCCTTTCTAATACCACTTCAGGACTTTGGGTGAAAGGCAGCATAGGCGAGCAGTGCATCCTGCAGTCTCTGCTGAGTGGGGTTGTAACTGGTGTTGGGATTCAAGCTCCCTTCCAGCGTGGGAGGTGGGGTGATTAGATGCGGATGCTGCTAAAACGAGGGGGATCTGCTTCGTGACTTCTCCTGCCGCCCCTTGGGTAGCCCTGTACTCTCTGTTTTCAACCTGACGCCTCTAAGGAAGAGCGCCCGTCCTAACAGCGACTCTCCCTCTGCCTGAAGGAGGGTGTTTGTACCCAAAAGCTCGCAAAGAACAACTTTTCCAACTATTTAATCGGTCTAATAAAAGATATCGCATTTACCCAAATAACCTCGCCTGCCTAAATCCGCAAAGCAGAGCGCTTCTTTCTGTGGCCCCAGGCCTCCAGGCCATGTTGGCCTGCTCCCTGGCTTCCCTCGTGCCCCTTAAAGCAAGGAAGGAGCAAGAAGGGTGAAAACTCTTCAGAAATTCCCAGCACCTTTGAACTTAGCCTTAAACCCAAGACTGCACCCATCCATCTCTACAAGTAACAGGTGAAAATACTCCGGTGACTTAACACTTGCCAAGTGCTTGTTATTTTTAAGTACCGAGGATTTGAGCTGTTGGCCACCTAGGTGCTAAGTTAACATTTACTTTTATGTGGCTGCAGAATAATCTAGGGTAGGCACTTTTGCGAGCGGCATCGTGGTTTCTTTTAAGAGGTTAAGAGCGTGGATGTCTGGGGGTCAAAAGACTGGGATTCCTGTGTGTTAGTTGGAAAAAGTTGGGGGAGAGTGGATATTTTTCAATATTTAAATTTTAACACTTTTCTCTGCAATGGATCCATATTTTCAAATGATTAAAGCAGTTTCTGAGTCACGAAGAATCAAGGTGAAAAACAACACGGAGCTGTTTGGCTTATGGGACCTCAGCGCTCCTATAGAAACCACTCTTT